CAAGATATGCCATGTTCGCGGCGATGCAGCTGCGGGAGATCTTCTCTAGCTTTGCTTGCTTGTATGGGGTTTGAAGATCTTGGATTTTAGAAGAGAATACTCAATGGAAATTTCATATTTTGTCTCTACGAATAAAAGAGTGAAGGAATTCGGAATGGGAAATGAATAGTGAAATAAGTCGTCCAAATGCGAATGAAAATGAAGGTTCGTGGAAAGGGAAATAAGATTTGATAAAATCGTGCGGTGGGTAATTATCTCAAAACTATGTTGGAAGAGTATGACTGACTAACCATTAGACAACCTAACAAAAATGATTAGATTTAATTGAGCCCACTTCTAAGAATGTCCCAATATAATGATTTTAATTGCTCAAATGGGATGTCATTATGTCAAGCAACCAATTTACCAAATCAAAACTCATCAAAACTCAACCTTTGTAATGGAGAAATATAAAAGATAGTAGGGAAATTTTTACACATACTTACCGTTTTTTAGTTATTTGCAAAATTACCATTGAAAGAAAAAAAAATTGTGTATTTACCTAAGAGATAAAAAGATATTATATTAATGCCTAAATAAAAACGTGACCTGTGTGATGAAACAGTTTTCATATTTTTAGGGGGCATAATCTGAAGCGGTTATTATGGAAAAGATATTAAAATTGAAATATAAATGCATATACATCGCTGAAAAAACGCAGCAGAAACAGAGAATGGAAAACGGACGGCGATGAGATTCAATTGAAACACGACCTCTGTTTATCGAAAAAAAACGTGTGTTTTGGCGATTAGGTTTCCGATTTCAGAAAAAAAATTTGACTTGAGAGATATTTGGAAGTATATTTTCGTGATATTTGGATGTATATTTCTTTGAATTCGAAAAAAGTGTTAATGTGTTTTTTTTTTAGATGGATCCGAATATGATGATCTTCATACATCATGGTGGTGAATGGGTCGTGAATGAGTACGTGAATTACCAACTATCAAGTGTTGTTATTCGAAAAGAAAGCAGCTACGACGAATTATGTGGTATATTGTGTGCAGAACTAGGGTTGATACGTCAATCAACTGTGCTCGACCTAAAATATAAGTTGAAGAAAGGTAGTCCACTAATGTCGATAAACAACGATAGCAGCATTGGCTTCTATGTGTTTTTGGTGTCCAAAGAGGCCGACTACACCAAATATCCGGTGTGCGTTGTGGTGAAATCTCGGAGTAGTGTTGAAAATTCGTTTGATGAAGATGTGAATATATGTTCGTTGAATTGTGAATCAAACATTGCTCCACTCTCTTATCCGGAGCTTGACAGATATCCTGATAAAGCAGACGGCACGATAAATTTCTTGTCGTTTGCGAGGAACGTCGCTGAAGAGATGGTAGAAGTGGCAGCATATACCGAAAATATACTGGATATATACCCTGGATCTGAAAATCGATTGTCTGACGAGCAAAATTTTGACTCTGGTATAGTTCCTGTATTTTACTAAAGGATAAGGAAACCTTACAGACGATGCTGACAATGCATGCTATAAAGCATCAGTATCAATTCAAGGTTGACAAGTCATGCTCCAAACAATATTATGTCAGGTATATCTTAGTTATATTCTGTTATATGTAACGTATTCTGGTATATCTAAGTTATATGCTTTTATATTTAACTTATATTTATATATCTAAGTTATTCTATGTTATATCTAATTTACATTCTTTTTTATCTAACACTTTTAATTTTATGTCAGGTGTGTGTCGAGCGATTGTACATGGTTTGTGAAAGCTTCATGTGTGGGTCGATCAAACACCTTTAAGATAAGACACGTAGGGACTGAACATATATGTGGTTTGGATGTGAGAACTAGTAGTCAGAGATAAGCGACATTAACCCTTGTTAGTAGTTTCAGCAAGACAAAATTCACTAACAATAAAACTGCATATAATCCGGGTGATATCATTGATGACATGCAAAATCGGTTTGGGATAAACTTGACATATCACAAAGCATGGCGGTCGAAACGCAAGGCTGTTGATGAAGTTCGTGGCAAGGTTGATGAGTCATACGATTATGCTCATCAATATCTTAGTAAGGTACGTGCATCAAACCCGAGTAGCATTGTGCTGATGCGCACCACATGGGATAAGAATTTCATGTACGTTTTCATGGCACTCGGTGCATCTGTAAAAGGATGGGTGCATTGTCAACCAATCGTTATTGTCGATGGGACATTTTTGTCGTCAGTGTATGGAGGAATTTTATTGACAGCCTCTTGTCAAGATGAAAATTCTCATATATTACCGCTTGCATTTTGCGTTGTTGACTCCGAAAATAACAACTCTTATGTCTGGTTTTTCACCAAATTGCAAGAAGTAGTTGGTGATAGGGATGGTCTTTGCATTGTCTCAGATGGTCACGAAAGCATAAGGCACGCAGTAGAAAAGGTAGTAGTGGATCTTCTCCAAAATAATTTTTTTTTTGCAGTAATTGGTATTTTTTAAGTAACAGTTGGGTAATTGTGTCAATGACATATAATATATCTTCCCAGATTATTTTTTTTTCCACAGAAATATATCTTCCCAATAATTGGTATATTTTTAGTAACAGTTGGGTAATTGTGTCTATGACATATAATATATTCACCTTCGATATTTTATTTTTTCGTTTTTACTTTTTAATAATATTTTCTCCAGCTAGTAGTATATGTTCTGTAACATTGTAGGTTTTATTTTTATATATGTAATATAATTTATCTTTACAATTTTTTAATCTGCAATGGATTTTATTAGTTGATTTGCATATCTCTGAAATGTTATAATTAATTTATATAGGTATTCCCTAATGCGGCGAATTGTCTGTGCACGTATCACATCTCAAACAAATTGAAGATGCGTTATAAGACCGAAGCACAGACAGTGAAGGAGGAGTTTTATGCAGCAGCGAGGGCCTACACATTAGAGGAGTTCGATAAGCATATAGCACAAATAAATAAGTTGAATCCTCATGTGGTAATTGGATTTCACAAGTGGGCAAGGGTTCACTGTCCCGGTAATAGATACTTTACCATGACATCTAACGCTGCGTAGTCAATAAATGCTGCCATACGATCCGTCCGTGATCTACCGATAACACCACTACTAGAGGCGCTTAGAGATATGAAACAAAGGTGGAATGTGGCAAATAGAGATGAAGCAAAGGCCACTTTTACTCCTCTTGCAAAGAAGCCACATAGTTTGTTGGAAACGAATTACCAAATGGCAGCAAGATATTCGGTGAGTTGTTATTTATATTTTAGTATTTTTATTAATGAATTATAGCCGGTTATATACTATACATATACTGGCAACTGTTACCGATTATATAAATATATGCATATACTAGTATGTACAACACATACACATGCTGTAATCCCACGTGGTATGAATGATTATATACTATATACATAATATTATGCAACAAGGCTGCACATACTATGTTTGTATTGTTTGTGGGATTTTTTTTAAATTTTTTTCATTTCTTTTTGTTTTTGTGTGTATTATTGTATAATGTTCATGTCATATACCAACATATATAAATAAATATATACTAATGTGTAACAGGTACAAAAAGCCAGTGACAAAGTGTATAAAGTGATGGCTAATGGTAAGGCATTTATAGTAGACATTGAATCAAAGACTTGCACGTGCCACCATTTTCAAGTTGACGAGCTGCCGTGCCCGCATGCTATACGTGTGATCAAGCCAGTGACAAAGTGTAAAAAGACTTGCACTGTTCTGATTACTACTTAACCTCTTCTATGTTGGCAACTTATGAAGAAGCTGTAATACCAATAGAAGGTAATCAAGCCTTCAAATTTGATGCACCGTCTATCCCTATATTGCTAAATCCATCAGATGGAAGAGTGAGGCCGGGGAGACCACACAAGCAACGATTCAAGTCGGGGTGGGAGCATAGATCAAAAAATAGATGCAGCAAGTGTCATGAGAAAGGGCACAATGTGAAAACTTGTCGTAATCCAATACGATGAAACCTGTTGCACTATCATGTATGTTATGAACGGTTTTTAAGTTGATTGTTGCTTCCTATTATTACTTGTTATTTTTTTTATTGTAGTTATTGCATCTTTGTAAAATGCAAAAATGAACATTGGATATACCGCACATATAACTGTGAGAAATCAACTGAACATTGGATATACTACACATATACAGAACATATACGAAGAATAAAAATGTATTTCAAAGGATATACCACACATGTACCAAACGTAAAACCACACATATGCCAAAACATATACAAAACATATACCAACCAATTGCAAAAACATATACCCTAGATCTGAAAATATACGCAAAAAATACTGGACATATACACTAGATATGAGAATTGGTTGCCAAACATATACCAAGAATATACCAAACTTATGCCACATATATGCTAAACAAGAAAAAAAAGGTAAGCTGTTCATCATAATATACCAGAAAAAAAAAATAGAATGAAAATCAAGAAAATAAAAACGTTTAATGTTTCCATCAGAATGCAACAACAAAAATACAAAAAGTTCAATGTTTTCCCAAATTCAATCACATCCATAAGAAAATCAATCATCAAATACTTAAAAAAAATGTCTATGATGTTTTTCCCACATTCAAAAGACTAAACCTAACTTCATCGGGGGCACTGCCAGGGGATTCATCATCACTGTCGTATCCATTCATTTGTTTCATTCGGCCATGATTATATAGCAAATATGCGTATCTCTCCCTAAACGAAGTGACATCAAACTTCTCCTTGGTGATCTCATGACCCGAAATGAAATGTTCGGCATACGATTCAACGAATACCCCACAATCACTGTCGAAAATGTAAAAAATATAAACAGTAAGAAAATAATAATAATAATAATAATAATAATAATAATAATAATAATAATAATAATAATAACTATAAACTACTGTAATAGTTATAGTTTATATTGTTACAAGTTACTAGCAATTTCAAATCTGAAAAATTCATATATAGTACCTATTGTTTTGCTGTGGGAGATTGTCAACCATAACCACCTCAATATTGACTTTTTCGGCCTCTCCAGCACTCGAAAGATTCACCAAGCCAAGGAAAATGGGGAGAATCTCGACGTAAGCCTTCACGTTCTCGATAACAAGATCATCGCAGTCTACTGTGCGAATTGAATTGTAGACATGAAGTTTCATGTCAGCAAGAGATAAACGCCCCAAAATCCAATGACCCACACCGTTTATTTCCAAATGCATCGGGAACATGACGTGATCAACCTTGGCCCAAGAAACACCACATATAATCTTATATCCCAGCATGTAGTCAATGATCATATCGTCTACATTGCATACAGACTTGTTACGAGAATGAGACACATACAATGCTTACAACGACTTAATGTGTTGGTCAAACAACACATCAGTCGTTGTATACCTGACTGGGGCAGATTTAGCATAAAATCCAATTTTCCTCAGATAGTAGAATAAGACATCCATGTGCTGAAGAAAAAAATATAAAACAAATTTCACACGTAAGCAATACATATGGATAAACTTAAAAATAAAAAAATATCTATATACTATAACACCAGACAAAAGTGATCAACTGTATGAAAAAAAATAAATATATATAACAAGTAAAATATAAATAAGTGTTGTACAAAAATGCTACTTACGCTGTAGTCAAGGAAGCATCCTTTCTCGAATATGTGGTAAAACCAGTTCTTGTCCGTCACTGAAACAACGTTAAAATGAAAAGGAGATGGCAAAGTTTTGCTCCTGACCTTGTAGTAGTTCAAACTGCAAAAAGTAATGATGATTTATAAGTTATATGTACGACATATTTACAGTAGATGATATTAATATTTTTTGTTATTTTTAATTATATTTGATGTATATTAAACTTATTATATAACTAGGAAAAAAAATCAGTAGTACCCGTTTTCGACTTTGCGAGGAGCCGACTTGAGCAAACCCTCTCCAATCCAGTCTCTGAATTCTTTCATGTCCACTTCCCCAGAAACATTTATGCGAAACCCAACATCGAATGGCAAGACTTCTGAAGTCTTATTTATTTCTTGGTGGAAATTTTGGTCTACATTGTTTTCTTAAGCTTCTTGGTTCGCCTCACTTCGTCTTTCTTCGGACTGTACACAACTAACGGAAGTTGCTGTTGTTGCTTGATTAGCTGTGTGTTCTCTCCTTTTACCGTCTCATTCTTCTCGATAGTCTGAAATGTATTGTATTAAAGATAATACAAAATTGAAGTGGTAAGACTTACATTATTAACCTGTTCTGGGATAGTCTTCATCGATTGTGGCGTCAGAGGTAGAACAGCAGTTATGGCGTCAAACGAAGGCTGAGATCCATTCAATGCATAATCGAATATGAGGTGTGGCTCATAACTGAAACCTCTCTGCATATATGCATATAATATAAACAAGCAATTGAATTAAATCGAACATATATAAACCACACAATTGTAATACTGTACATATATATATATATGTATA